GAGTGGTATCACCATGCCTGGGAATTCGTTCTTGTGCAACTTCAACCATGCACTGCTGCCATCGCTCAGCTTCTCGATGTTCAACAAATGGCTTACGCATTCCACTGCAAATGGCCAAAAACATGGTGGTAGTCCGGCTTCTAGTAGGCACGTCGATGTGGTAAGCATCATGAACTGATTGTTTCTTTCGGCGAGTGAATTGTTCTGGGGATGTCCTGGAAGCGACTGGTCTAGTGGAATCCGAAGTTCCTTGAGTGCTACTTCGAATTGTGGCGCATCATCAGAGTAAGCGTTGGTGACCTTTCTCTTACCGATATAGTGCTTCATCGCCTGCACTACTTCGTCACTATTGCTTGCTTTCAATGGATAACCCCATATCATACCAGTAAACCGATCTCGAATCACCAATACATCCTTATCCGGCATGATCCCGTCTCTCGCCATCTTCTGGGTGTTCATGAGATCAAAGGTGATAAGGTCACCGAATGCCTTCAACTTTCGTTTGAAAGCTCCCTTGCTAGTCTTGTAGTGCTTCATCTTTGCTCTCACACATGACTTGCAGTATGGATTCTTATAGCGGTGCGTCATCAGGTGCAATATGGATCTCGCCTCATTCTTCAGCACTCCGGGCTTTGACAGTCTAGCTTCTCCATCGACCACATCGACTTCCAATAACCCCTCTTCGTCTTCACCAATGTCACTCTCCTCTCGTTCAGAATCCGCATCACCTCCATGTTCGTCGTCTTCGGCTTCTTCAGGTTGGCCATCGAGGTCACGATTGATCCCCGGGTCTTCCCCGTCATATCCTTCTTCCGGAGAATATCCGTCATCACCGTGTTCCTCTGGTTCTCTTTCGTCGCCTACAACGGCTGGATTGATATCGGATTCATCACCCCGATCTTTCTGGTTATCTCTCTTCTTTCTCCTCCGTCTTCGAGGTTTCTTAGGCGGAGGTTCCTCCTGTTGTATCTCCTGACCTGCTGTGGCCTCGTCCCCACACTCCACACCTGACAATATGCGATGAAGTATCGTGGCCAAGCCGTCTGATCTTGGTAAACATCTCCCGTCATCATCATTCACCTTGATGTAGGGTATGTTGTCATGCACTGATAGCGGGATCTTGTTCGCGTTTTGGTCGATGAGGTATGGCAACTGATTCGCCGGCCATATGAATGAATACCCTTGTTCCATGCACCGTTTCCCGATGGAGAAGACTGATGGTGTACTCTCCAACACGTGTGCCTCGGACATCATGGGTAGTTCGTCCACATTGATGTCCACCATCTCCGATGTACTAGTTACTCCATTCGCTGTCATGAAGCTCACGGATTTGGGTCCTTCCTTAGTGGTAAGGCCCATGGCGTTGACTTTCTCTCTTGAGATCAAGTCATGCCCACATCCCGTGTCCATGATGAAGCGTATCGGTGGCCCGTCATACCTCTCCACGGCCATGAACATCGTATCTCCCGGTATCGTGTAGTTGACAGAATCTTTCCTTACTACCTCGCTGGTGTTGAAGTCAGACAGGTCGACGTTCACCTCGATTCCTTCATCTTGAGTGATTTGTATCCATGCCTTGGCAATGTGTTCAGCAGAGTATAGCTCCATCATCTTGCCTTTGGCATGCGCTACTCGTGCAGCTATGCTGTTCACTCTGAGGGTTCTCAACGACGAAATGATCTCGGTATCCACCTTCTGCACCTCGTCCTTCTTCTTCTTGAGGGGACGGGTATTTAGCTCGTTACCAGGATCGCAGGTAAATGTGGTCACATCCACCCGGTCATCGAATCTGACTTTAAAGCGAAGCACCAATTTACCTTGCTGTACATTGGGAAGTGCTGGTTGCACGTCCTCTCCATCACTCTCGATGTCTCCGCAAAGCATGAAGGCTGGCGCAGCCGGTTTGGGCTTGGCTTTACCTTTAGCCTCTTGTTTCGTAGCAGGAGCAGCGTGATGCTGGCGACGACATTTGTCCCCGAACTTGCATGATCCTTTCTGCCAATTCCAGACCTGATCCTTCATTGGTTTAGGGCTAGTGCTCCTACCACCAGGACTCTTTGATCTGTCACCCTTGAGGTTTTCTGGTTTCTTAGCAGAACTCTTGTGCTTCTCTTGATGACTAAACTTGCATTTGTCTCCTCTAGAGCACCCGTTTTTTCCATAGAAGTGGAAGGCGCATCCTATCTTGGACGTATCTGCTGGAGTCGCTGACCTGCCACGATCTCCTTTTGGGCTCTTCGTGGTTGATCTTCCACGCTCCTGCTTCTTGTCCTTCTTGACGTGATCTTTCGGATTAGCCTGAGGAAGTACCGGAGCGGCGTCTTTCGGTGGATCGGCCTTGGTATTCTTGGGTTTCGCCTTAGGATCCTTCTTCTCCGCCGCTGGTGTGGCTTTCACGAGGTTCCCAAAGGCCTTTTCCCTCTCCTTCTTGTTTGTGGTCTCGATTGATTTCCGTATCCACTTCGCCATGATCTCTCGTAACTTCTGGTAGGTCTTATCCGGATCCTTGTCCAACATGTTATCGTACACGGACAAGTCTAACGCCATAACTTTGGAGTCCTTAATCTTATCCCAAAGCAGGTTGCGGAGTGCTTTGTCAGGAAGCATATCATCCGCATCCATACCTGATATGATTTCATCCCACTGTCCAAGGAATCTGGATAGTTGATTATCTCCAGGGAACTTTAGGTCGAATAAGTGTTTGGATGCATACATCACATCGACGTTGTCGGCACTCCGGAAGCTATCGACGATTAACGCTAGCATTTCTCGTCCCTTGACCATTCCAGGAGTTGTGCCTCTCGCACGTCTCTGCATCATCTGCCTCACCTTCAATTGTACGTCATGAGATCTCTCACCTGCTGCGTGGATGATCGTATGTAGGGTGATGCCTAGCTTAGCATCTATGCTAGCGAATCTTGCTTCGCCTGATGTCTCGAGCAGAAATGGGTCATATGGTGATCTGAAGGCATCCGAGAGCCACTGGATCCAGTCTTCCTGTCTTTCGTCGCCCGATGCCGTCACGACTGCCGCTACGACCTGAGATTTCCAAACCTCCAGGTCGTGTATCTTGGGCCATGCAGGGATGTTAATCTTCTCATGTTCCTTCCGAGATATCTTGGAGCTACCCGAGCTAGAAGATGAAGCGGCACCATACTCGGTTGCGGCTGCATTCTCAGCGTTCGAGCGCTCCTCTTCGTATCTCCTCCGGTACTTATTCCTCTCATCTCTGAGCCGTGCTGCATGCGCTTCGAATTCCATCATGTCCTGCTGGTTCTGCATCATACCTTCGTAATATTCCATCGCCTCTTTCTCCTCGGACCTTAATGACTTTTCGGTACGTCCAAGTTCCGCTCTAAGCTTGGTCATCATCTCGTTCTCCACATTGCGTCCTGATCCCATGTCTTGTGGTTTCAACTCCAGTGCGACCTTCAGTTGTGCTTCACTTGCACTTGATTCGATCAATTCTTCCTGAAGACGTTTCAACATCCTCTCTTTACGTAGAATGTCCTCCTCCAACATGTTCATCTTGACCTCGGCTTTCTTGAGTTCGGCGTTGGATGTTTGAGACGGTCGACCGGATCCTTGAATCCTCGCCTGTGCCACCTCTTCGTTCGCCCTCTTCAATTGCTCTCTGATGGTCATGATGAAATTGTCCTGGTTATAAGATCGGTTGTTGAGCTCCTCATTCTCTTCTGATAACCATTTGATCTTGCTTGTATACATTGCTTCCTTCATCTTCATTTCCTCGGCATATTCGTGTTTGTTCCTGGCACTCTGCCTTTGTAGTCCAACTAACTCCTGTCTATACAGATCCCTAATGTTCTCAGCATCTGCGACTGCAGTCATGAGTTCGGTTACGGCTCGATCTCTTTCCGCCGATATAGCCTGGATCTCTTCCGTGCCGATGTTCACAACTTGACTAACCATCTCTGCGCTGTTGCGATCAGCGTACTCCCCTAACTGGGTGAGACGATCCCGCATTGCCACACGATCAGTGTCAATCTGGTATTGCAAATCGTGTGCTGCTGAGAGCAAACAGTCTCTGGATTCTGTAAGTTGGGAGATTCTTCGTTGATTTCCATATCCTTCGACATAACATTCTTCGAGGTGTGTCATCACTACTTCGTGGACTTCGGTCTCGTGTTGTATAATCTGGTTCTGTCTCTGCTCACATTCGACCATCCATGCGTTTTGGTGGTTCAACATATGCACTTCGGCAAGTAGTTGTGCACACTTCGCATTGAGGTCTCCATCGGCCCGTGCTAGTTGTAGGTTGTCGGTGCTTGCCCTTGCTCCATCTCCAGCTTCGCTGTCCGATGGCACTGGTACAGTTGACCCATCCTCCAATGCTAGCACTCTCACAGCTCCGGTGTCAGTCCTCCTCCTTGTCTCTCTAGGGCTACGGCCCGATCTCGGTGTCCCCCCCGGTGGTGTCGAATGCGCTGACGGGGAACGACTTCGTGCTCTACCTGTCGCAACTTCTCTCACCACTGTCAGAGTCTCCGCTTCGATCGTACCTGGACTAGAGTTGTGGGATGCACTCACCCGATCTGCGGCCGCAGCGGCTGCTCAAAAGGATGCAGTGCTGGCGTCGGATTGGTCCATCTTCAGTGACTGAGGGTAACTGATCTATCCGATGCGTGTGCGTTTAGATGGTGTTGTGTAAGGCCGTAGCTCGTACCCAGCTCGAAGGAGTCTGGATACGGCTGATAACCTGCGAACGGATGGAAAGCGTGCCCTGGCCCCGTTCAAGCCCTTAGTTCAACATGAAGCTCGCGCGCTAAAGCTCCTTTTCGCCTGGTTGGGCACTTGAGCCAAATGTGTATGGCAAGTACCTATATAGAAGCTATACTGAGACCTCATCTCTATTGACAACATATATATATATATACAATGATAAAGCATGCTTAACCACAGCCGTTTTAGCTTGTCGGCAGCCACGGTGGATCTTTTGTTACTCTTCACTTGGGTGGCAGGCCGTCGGCCGCCCTCCTCGCCTCCGCCGCCGCCGGCGAGTCCGGGTTCTGCGAGGACGCCGGGACGTCGGGCAGTTGGACCCACATGGCTTGGCCGGGGGCGGTGCCCTCGGGAACTTGCACGTCCACCTGGGTGGTACCGTCGACACGGCGTCTGTCCACGGTCAACCGTGTGACATCCTCGGTCGACCCGGTTGACATGGGGTTCGGAGATCGGACATCTCCAAGTGCAGTTGTTCTTCATGTCTGCCCGGATGGCGTGTATGAGAGTTGGTTGGATGAATAGCATCAGGTGTACTACAAGTATGATGTGATAGAAATAGGCAGGAAAGGTCACACCAGCGATGAACATGTCCCATTGGTTCCCACTGCATTCTATCTAGTGGAGGAGGGCAAACATCCTCCAAATAGATGTGATATTCACACATAGATAGAACATTATAGAGCAAAGCATGCTGAAGTGTCCAGCACCAGTTCTTGTATTCATTGACCGGTGACCACAGTGGTCTGCGCTGTATAAGCAAATTTGTAAGGATAATTGTCATGGGGCCTGGTACTGTGGTTGAAACAAGAACACAATTATCTAGCAAACTACCTAGCAGCGAATGCAAACAAAACAACTCAAGGGGATTATCGGATTCAGGGAAAAACAAACCAGTTTTGTTGGAATGTACTATAGGGGCTACTACTGGAGCCTGAACCTCATAGTGTGTGAACCTTCTCCACACATGGCATCCCCCTCCGCATCCACCGGACGGGCGGCACCTGCATCCCCTCGGGGCTCTGCACGCGAAGCACCTGTCCACCACGGCAGCCGGCCGGAAGCACTACTCGGAAGCCGCGCGGCACGGCGTCGGCCGCGTGGGACGAGAGGCCATCACGGCGCGGGGTGGCGCCTCGGAGCGGCGGCTTTTTGAGAGTTGGATGATGAACCAGATTCCAGAGCATGCGGACAGGAAGAGTTTACATGGATTCCATGAACATGAACATGAACATGACGTCACTCTAATGTTGGATAAATATTTCATACTGTTACTATTCCACACATGGAGTTCGTGGATGGGTTTGGGATTCTTCCAAGGCAATTCTTCCAAAAACCGGACCCAAAGAGTGCTGGTTCTTCGGCCTGTTGGAAGCAACAGCTTCAAATAAAACCCTGCAGCTACCCAGACCATCCGTATGGAACTTTAGTATGTAATATACCTAGAACCTGAGTAACCTTTGTTTTGAAGGCTTTGAAGGATCAACTATCCACAATATGACATGTTCCTATCAAAAAGAAGTTCTAGTAGGAGGGATGTTTTAGGCACGAGTATATATTTTATATATATTCGTTTACAAATGAGCCATCCAATGTGCTGTAGCTCGCCCGTCGTCCTATTCGTCTGATCGGTTTTGAACCCAAAACATCGACGCCCTGGCCTTCTACAGAGACTGGAAGATATGCCGCCCCAGGAAGACCCTGAAATCAACCACCCCAACTGATCGGCAAATTGGCAAATGCCATGTATGATCTGGGCATTTACTGATTCATTCTATTTGGCTCACACATTGGTTTTCTTTCCTTCTTCCAAGGAGTCCGAGTAGCTTCGCTTGGCGGCAGAGGGTTTGTCCTTCTTCCCCAGGAGCAAGTCCCTTGGCACAAAAAAACAGCGCACGCCAAACAAAAACCTATGTGCCACGTACTGTAAAGGTTCTGTCCGCGGTCATCCACTTCCAGGTCTTCGAACTATGGATGTGTATCAAAATAGGGAAACCTCCCAAGCAACGACCCCTGGAAGACAACTGATCAGTCTACCCAGCCAGCGGCCACGATATTTGGTGGTTGATCAAAATTCCTTCTTGCTGAAAGGCCATTCTTCGCCAATAAAGGGTTTACTTTCGTGATTTTTTCGCGAACTCCATGTTTAATTTTCGTGGGGGGTACTGTATATCTTCCAGACATTTTCTTGGTTCAATGTTTTTACATAAAAACAGCCTACAGAACCACTTCCAGCTGTTTATTTAGAAATCTGTTCTGCACCCAAACAAACTCGCCGGTATCTTCCTAGGTGTTCGTTTCATCCTGATCTCGAACAGCAGCGAGAATTCGCATGCACAAACGATCCAGGACAGACACCGCGTGTACACATGATCCGGATTCTGCATGTACAGACAAACCCGGTCCCTTAAGGGCAGGGGTCCACAAAACAGGCCTTCACATTCGCCTATGTTTTCGCGAATCTTTCGCCAAAATGTCGCGTCATTGGTGGGTTTTTAGGCCCAAAACGAAACAACAGAGTTACTATACATCCTAGGGATTGCGCATCGCAAGTGTGAACTATATATTATATATATATTGTGCACTGTACAGGCCTGTGAATGTGCCACTGAAGACTGTTTGTGCCTCGGAGCATGGCCAAGCCAAATCACCAATGCGAGTGAGCTAGGCTCCTAAAGCCTAAAGACTGCATCGAAAGTCAGGAATCAAGGCTCCTCGTGAGTGAAGGAAGGGAAGTATGACGTATACATAGCTACACATAGAGTATATAGGATCTCTCGCAGATCTTTCGCGCAAAAAATACTTTCGCGAACTCAAGAAAAACTTTCGCGAACAACTTGAAAGGCTCTCAGTGACATAGGCCTTATGTCGACCTTTCGATCGACCACCATCTCCTTCATAACATACGTATGATTTTGCCACAAGGTCTTGGGCCTTGCGAAGGTTTCAGGGAGATGACCGGATGAGATCTCTTGCGTGGGGCAAAGGTGTCATGGATTGAGATCTAGCCCGCTCGACTACAAACGATGTCGGCGATGTTGCGGAACATCTCGGTCGAAGGAAGGCCAGAGGGGTTTCACTCAACAAAATATACGTAGTCAAGTACACTGAGAGGTCACCTGGCCTGACAATCTTGCAGGTCTCAAAACGTCCCCATATGATATCCTGAAAGGAAGCGCTTGGTCGTCTTCGATCTATTTAGTGCTCAAGTCGGAAGACAATTTTTGGAACCAATCAATGTGAGTCGCTTTCCTGTGGCCGGTTCGGTTTGGGCAAAATCATGAGCTCCGCGACATACCATCTTCGATCCTGCCACCGCTGCTAGGTTCCATGGGGCACCCCGAAATGGGTGCACTATGATTGGCGTCTGTGGCACGACTCCTTCAGGCAAGGAAATCATCAGTAGCACCCCCGTATCACGCGCACTCGCGGTCACCCTGAGGAATCCGTCATTCACTGCGGTCACCTCTTTTGCCTTTGCTTTCCCAGCGTTGTTCGCCTTGGCAGCCTTGACCGCCACTGGCTTGGGAGCAGGTGCTGCCTTCCTCAAAGCGTCCAATGTAGCATGGGTCCAGTGGATCCAATCCAGGCAGCCACTTCTTTTCCAGGGGTTGCAAGTCTACGGGCATCGATCGTTCTGCTCCTTTTTTTCCCACCTGCCAGGTGAGGCTTGTTAGGCTTTATCATAGCCTGATATAGAGCCTGTCCTGCCGGTCCTCCTCCTTCTCCTCATCCTCATCCGCGGGCTCTTCAACTGCGGACGCTAGATCGCAGTGGGCACCACCGGACCTCAACCACCAGCGCTAGATCACAGTGGGCACTGCCGGGCCTCAACCGCGAGCGCTACAGATCGCACTGCGCACCGCCGGGCCTGAGCCAAATAGAAAGAATGACAAGTATCACAAAACATGCCAGATGGAATGCCATAATTTATGCCGAATAGAATGCAACAATTATGCAAGATAGACACTTTCTAGGTGATGTTGAAGCAATACAGCTGCCGGTTCTCAGCAGAAAGTGGAACTACTTTGCTGGTACAGCGTGATTGGCCATGAAGCAACAGGCTCAGGTGCAGAGCGGTACCGTGCCCAGCCAGGCAATCGGTGCTTGTGAAAATGGCGGTAGTTGAGCCGCAAAAAGGCGAGGTGTGACTGGAAGGGCCACCAAGCCTCACTGATGTTGGCGGCCTCTTTGGGGATGAACTTGCCAATGTTGGCCCACAGCCTCTCCACAGGCACAGTGCCAAAGTGCACTTCACTGCCTGCAGCATACAAAGCTAAGGCTGCGTCCCGCCAGCTCATCCAGCCTTGCAGCCTGAGCGGCTTCCGCAGGCGGGCGTAACTTTTGCCTGGAAGCACAGCACGACCCAGACAGCATGTCTATTGAGTCGTCCTCTGTCAACCATTGCGCATCGTCAAGTGTACTGCACTCACCGCACAGAATACAAGTGCACGTAAGTGCCTGTAGATTCTCTATGAACATGCATGGTAGACCAGCAGGGGACGAGTCAACCAAGTTGTCAAGGACTTTGAGGGCATGGTGGCCACACAAAATCTCACGACATCGCACGAACACATCGTCCGATGGTCACAATGTTCGCGAGGGACTTGATCAAAGATGTAGACCTGCGGCCTGCGACTCGCCCTGGAGAGCAGAAATCTGGCAGTCTTTCACCCTATGGTTCTTTGACAAACCCATTGAAGCAGCCTGAATTCATTGCCCATTAGAAACTCCTTGAAACATGGAGTGGCTTGAGAAAAGGACCAGGCCATTGACCTATTTTTTCGCATTTACCTCCGTAATTACCCTTGATGAAATGACACATTACAATCACACCTGCATATAATATATATATATATGTATGTATATATATACCGATACAGATTGCATGCATTCTTGGATATTCTTGCGGATTCGCTGGCAGCCAGCGGCATCCAAAGGTGGAAAACACCGCCTGTGTCTTCGCGCTTCTAGACTCTTAGTGCTTCCGTTGACCAACTCTCAGGTTGAAACTCACATGGTGGCCGGATGTGGCCGGCCCCCCCATCTCCTGAGGTCTTCACAGGTTTTTGGGTTTCCTGGAATTGGTCCTCCAAGAGTGTCTGATCTCCATCCCTAGGGATCCAAGTACCTTCTCAGCAGGTGATGTGTTCGACACCGCTATGTAGGTTTGGAGGGTCCAGTCGTACCTTCTGAGGTTCGGTACGACTGGATCCCTAGGGCATGAACATATCCCTAGAGTAGACCTGATAACTTTGCCTCACAGCTGTGATCACATGGCGCGCTGGTCATTCCTGGCACCATGAGCCCGACCGATTGACCTACCGACAGTGCCGTGAACGGAACGTCGCGGCACAAGGCGGACGACCGGGACTGGGCGACGTCGGGTCAACGACCCGGCCCCACATCTCTTCCCACACTCATCCAGGCAGCCGCAGCGTCTGCGAGGACGCGCGGAAGACCATCGGTTCTCCCCGGCTGCAAGTGGTTTGCTGCGTTGGAAAGCGGGAGCCGCGTGGAGAGGTCGAAGGCTCAAGGTTCCAAGAATGAGCTGGCATACACAGATCATGCCAGATCATCCATGTATGGAATACTTCTATAAATTGGGGTGGTTGAAGAGGGTGGATGTAAGTAAATATGCCAGTCCCAGGGAGTGTCTGGGATAGGATTGTAGGACACAACTCCCCATTTGTTGCTTGGCAGGGCTATATAGATTGAATTTGGTGATGTTCCACACAGGAAATGCACTCAATCTGGAGTAGAGGTTTCATATGGCGAAAACAACTTCAAACCTTCGGTTGCCCGCCCTGTGCTTGTTGGAGCTGAGGGTAGACTCAGTAGACGGAAATGACACCTCCATCTTGTAGTGAGAGGTTCTTAATGGTCAACTGCGTGAGAAGAAATACAGCCGTTGGAGCTTTGACTGGAGCACTGTCAGCAACCAGACTTGGCCATCTCTGTCAGCCGTGTGGCACGCAACAGTCTCAACTAGTTTCTGAGCCGAAGAGTAATCCGGGCACGCCCGCGCACCCCGCTGGTCAAACGATCCCATGGACCCTGAAAAACGCACTGGTTTGGTTCGAGGAAAACCGTTAGACTCCGGGCGCCCTTCCGATTCAGACTCCTATAGCTTGGTTCGGGTCATATCTCATCTTCTGGGGTACTGGATAAATCAGGATGGAATATCATTCTATCCCAGACACGAATGATGGGACCACAGTTCAGGTTGTGCTGTACACGTGCGGCATGTGAACAACATGTGGGAATGCGTCTACGATAGTCTCTAAGTCTATGTCTACAAAACACACGATGGCCGAGCCATTTTGGGGATCATTCATATAATTATATAATGACTTATACTCAAGAGAGTCTACATGAGTGTACAGTGTACAGCAAAAATGGCACCGATCCACGTTGTACTAACTGGTGTTCAAACATTTGTAAACGGATGTAATTGGATATTGCATCTTTAAAATGAGGCCACTTTGCTTTGCTGGTTTGATTGCAGCTATAAAGTTTTAACCGACACACTATGTTGATCTTCCGAGTATTCTCCAGGGTAACCCTCCTGGAGCCACCGTGGTGAAAAAGAACTCTTCTTCGTTCAAACAATTTTGAACACGCTGACCATTTCAATGAGCTCTAAAAAGTGTGAAGCAACACCCTCGACCCATGAGCAGCAAAAGAATAATATGACAAACCCAGAGGCTCATGGACCCTCAAACTGCTACGTGTTTGAGGTCCAAAACCCTAGTTGTGAGGGTCAAAACCCTAGCGAACTGAGGGTCCAATGAGCCTTTCGGAACAGTACATTCTGAATCATTATGACGTAGCCAAATACTCTTGGACGTGCCATCTTCCGCCATGTGCGCCCACGATTTTACGTTGGTCGCGGCCACCACACAGTGTGGCTGTCCTCCCACCGGTTGTGGCCGTCCACCCGCCACGTCGGGTTCGCTGCCCCGACCTCACGGCGATCCAGGTCACACTTGTTGCCAATGAGCATGATCACCTCGGCGACCGGCGCCACCGGCGACGTAGATGTGGGGGGTGCGGGGCCGGGGGGAAGTCCAGTTCCACGAGTCGTGAAACCGGGTGAACACACGAGGTTCGTTTGGGTCTTTTCTATTTTGTTTCGGTTTAGGAAGCCAACAGGTAGCGATGCCCTTGCTACCAGTAGTGATGCACTTGTTACAGCAAGCACATTCTTTTTTGAGGTGTTGGGATGCTGATGCTGTGAGATCCTACTTGTTGGCTTGGCGGAGTCTTGTCACGTCGACTGCTTCAGGATTGAGTCCGGTCCACAGTGCGAAAGGATTGGATCATTTTGTGGTTAGGCCTCTCTGCACTTCACTCACCACCTACAGTTTCGTAGTTGCACATTTTTTACTTTATGCTTACGCCGAGAGCGGTACGCTTGTGGCTAGCCATGCAAACAAATTAAGAATTAAACATGCATTGGTCAGCAGCACGATGTTCCCAATCCGGGCCCATCCGTGCCTCATGATCGTAAGTTGCTACTAAATTGGTGATGGCTGTACAGAACCAGTCAGGCAATGGCTCTAACACATCAGCCTGACTCTGTGCATCAAACAGGACCTTGGCCATCGTCTGGCAAAGCCCTCTGGGGTACTGCTTGAGTACACTGGTCTTCCACGAGCCATCTTTGTTGCGTCCAATCTGTCCTCCTCGTGGCATAGGCGTCGTTCGGCCTTGAACAAAAAGCTCGGCAACTCTAGGCCCTCCATTGGCGATCAAAAGATCTGTGGGTTTCGGTGAGATGCCACCAAACAAGCCTTGCCAAATCCTGAGCTTAGTACAGGTCTCGAAACGCAACAGGAAGTCCACCACTGGTAGCCGCCAAATGGAGGGAAAAGTAGGCTCGTCATCAGGGCACGCAGGGTGCTCCAAAATGGCCGTAGCCCCCCATATCAGTGCATGAAGGAATAGACAAAGCGCTACTCCAAGCAGCTGATTTCCAACAGATACCTGTGCCATTTCACGCCTGGTCAGATGTGGTAGGCCTACAGGAAAAATCCTGGTACGCAATGGTCGCGGGCCCCCATTGTCAACTGACCGCGCTCGAGACCATGTCTCGCACGGTGGGCCGGCAACAAAGCCGGCCAACACACGTTCTCGGATGGCACGTGCAAAGAGCTGGAATGTGGATTCCTTCAATAGGTTGCCCCAATCAATATCGAAAATGATATCGATAGATACAGCCACCCCCCCAAGCTGCTCAATCGCCTCCTGGACATCTCCAGCTCTGCGGGTGCCTGAAAACAAATGGGCATAGACTTTGGGGTAGTACGGAATCGGCTTGGGCACCGGGCATCTGATCACATCAAGGCGCCAGGCCTCTCTCTCAAAGAAGCGTTGTGCCGTTTCCGCAGTTTCAGTGGTACACGTTTGCTGTTTGAGGAACCAAGAGGCAGAAGCATGTACAAAGAAAAGTGATGCCTCAGCTGCTTGTGCCACAGTAATACTCTCCTCCGTCTCAGGCAAATTGAGCCACTCGGTGAATACCGTCAGGATCTCATCATGGAAGAGAACAGTGTCGAGCGTGGCAATCCTAAGTCGTTCCAGCAGAGGTGACCCATCGGCCGGGTAGAGCAGAGCCTGCTTCCAAGCCTGGAACAGGTTTTGTTTCTCCTCCATCTGGCGGTCAATGCCTCCACATTGGAGAGGCGGTCTTGGTCCTTCGGCTTGCAACACCGGATCACGAAGTGTTCTTCGTGCACGGTTCTCACTGCGGCTGTTAACAGCCGGTTGTGCTTCAACAAACTCACCCCTTTGGGAATAAAATTCAAAGCATCGTTCTTGTCTATTGACATGATTGATGAGGTCTGTATGCATGTCATAGGTTTTCAAGCAACAGGAGCACTGCTTCCCCTCTACGTAGTAGCGTGCTCGACTGATTCGCTGGTGCTTCTTAAAGGCATGGACGGCCAAAAATGATTTCTTGGCAAAGACCTTTTTACATTGCAGACAATAAAACTGACCAAGTGGAGCTGTCACAGCAGAGCCCAGGCTCAATCCAACTTGTTGAAGCACAGGAATCATCTGTTGGTGCCATCGGTTCCATTCATGCGAAAGACGATGCCAAGCAACCTGTCTGTGGATGGCCTTCCTTAGCAAACGTTTCCACCATGCTGGCTGTTCAGTAATCCTGTTTGCCAACGTGCCTCTGGACAGTAAGTCAAAAGCCATCGAAGATCATCATTGCTCTGAGCCAGCCAAGCAGGGGTCTGTTGCAACATAGCCCAAACAGGGGGGAGCCCATGAGAGACCAACTGTCCAAGATATCGGAGTCGAGCAACCCGAAGCACTGTCATAGTCTCAGGCAATTGTAGTTCGTACATGACCATTTTGTAGCTCCAGGTTAGAGCAGGTGCACCAAAATGAAGAACAGCCAGTCGTCGATGCAGTCGGAAAAAAACCCGCTTCAAGCTGGGAATACTGCCTTTGGTTGCGTGGTCTCCAAACTGCTGCGTTGAAGATGATGGCCGATTGGATCAGGCTCTCATAAAACCGCAATTTGATCTTTAGCTCCATGCCCCGGTTGCCGAAAATTTGTGTGCGGAATCGTGTAATAGTCTGATGTGCTATTGCCATTTTGGTAGACACATCTTTTGCCAGTCCTCCTCTCACTTGAATCCATGTCCCCAGGTGTCGATAGGAACCAACCACGTTGATGTGGTACGGCTCATAGTCAGAAGAGACTTCCAAGACATTGTCATTCAAACAAATCTGCCGCCTGCTTTCCTGTGAGCCTTGTCCTCTCAAGTCCAAGAGAAGCTCGGTCTTACCACTTTTGAGATTGGGTTTGAGCCCCGCACTCGTAAGCGCATCCAGAATCACTGAAGTGATCGTCTTGGCCTTCTGCACCAGTCCTGCTGGCCTGGAATCATCAAAAGCAACCGCAATATCATCAGCCCATATTGGTGCCAACGGTGGCAGAGACACATGCCCACCAACATTTGGCAAAGGATCATTTTGTCCATTCCACTGCAGCTGAATGTCCGGAAAGAGTTGTGTCAGCTTGGCTAGAGGTCCCTTAAGGATTCTGGTGAGGGCATAGCTGAAGCAAATATCCGCCAGGGCGTCGCCAGGCCTACTGCCCCTTCTCGTCTGCACCACACAGTTGTCATGTTTGACAACAAACCAAGTCAGATCATAAAACTCTTTGAACATCGCCTGCAAATGTGGAGAGGCTCCCGAACTTGCAATTGCAGGTCTTTGCTGCAATGAACACTGAAAGTCCTCAAAGCTTCCTTCCGGTAAATGAAGCTGATCAAATAGATCTCGGATGCTTCTACAATCCTTGTCTACATGAGTGATGTGCTGGCGGACTAGCCTATAGAATGCGTTGGAAATGTCAATGAACAATATTCCAACTGACCAGCCTTTCATCAGGGCTCTCTGGTGGAAAAGATGCAAACTGTGAACTGGCTGGGTGATCCCTTGACCCGGCAAGCCGCCAACCTGCAGAGGGAGCCGCTGGTGTCCAAAGTAGTGAACGATGTCCTTCCGCATGAGCGAGTGCAGCGTCTTTCCAATAACACTACTCACGAACAAAGATCGATAATTGGACATTTCACATGGATTCCCTTTTTTGTGTGCAGCTGCCAGGTAGCCACCCTTGTGGATCATCGCTTCTTTGACAAAGAGAACTTCTTTGCAGAAAAAGGTATAGTACAATCCAGCAAGTTGCTGTGGTGCCTTTGCCAACAAGTCACCCGGGATCTGGTCCGCAAAATATGCTTTTCCTGTTGCAGTCCGTCGAAATTGCGCTTCAATTTGCGACCTTGTGGGAATCTCATCCCATTCAGGCACTGGCCCTTGCCCCAGATCAGTACTATCCGCTTTATCAAAAAGCGTAGTGAAATCCGTCTCAAGGCCATCTTCTTGATCCCCAAAGTATTTTCTCCAGACTGCTGCCATTTCCTCTACCGTTTCAACTGGATGTCCTTGTGCATTCAAAAGATGTGGCAGAGGCCGGATACCAGACGGCTTTTTCTTGTTTTGGACACCAACTCCTCTCAATGCCGCCATAAAGTCTTTCGGGGACAGCTGTCCAGCTTGTTTTGCAAGTCGTTCCAACGCATCTGTACGATCATGTCGCAGGTGTTTAGTCAACTGCTTGGCAAGTTCATGTGATCTAATCTGCAGCGTTCGAATACGTGCAAACAAAGTGAAAAAGGAAACAAAATCAACCCGAAATCCCCCAAGGCCCACATACCAGCTGGAAAAAGCATATTGGAGGCTGAAATTTCCTGTCTCCTGCTTTACTCGGCTTATTTCAGCCCTGACCCTGAGCCGTTCCTTACGGATGGCCCAGGTATCTTCTGAGATGTATGTTTGGTGTGCTTGTCCTGGCCCCATCGGAAAAGCTTCACAGAGCTTCCCGAGAATTTGTTGGCTTAGAGACTGTGCATGCTGGTTAATGTCAGTTTGCCAATCCGGAACTCTCACATCAGAAAGCAATTTGCTGACTGTGGCCTCATCAGCTCTTTGCAAGGCAATCCGGTCAAAACTAGCACGCTTGCGATGTACATACTTGAGCAGTGTTCTAACCTTGATCTCCAGCGCAACAGGAAAGTGATCAATCGCTCTCTTGCCCTCATCCAGACTATTCAGCACATAGCTCTTGAGGTGGCCTTGCATCCAATCCTGTGGGACAGCTATATAGTCACAGCGGGCCCATCGGCCATTGGCATGTGAATGCCACGTCTCGGTCGGACCCTCATGAAAGGCTGCAAATGTCGAAGGTAAGCACAGCCTTGCTTTGTGCAGAAAAAGTTGGAACCAGGAGGCATTGGAGTTTGAGCGCTCTTCTAGGCCATGATGTCCCACGAGGGGCTCATTGGGTACATCAAAATGAGCATTCGCATCGATACCGACTACCAGGTTAGGAAATCTGGCAACATAAGGCAGAACAGAGGCACTGAGTCTGTCCCAAAAAACCCTGATCTCTGTCTCTGTGTGACCACTATGCGGGGCATGTGCATT